CATTAACATGGGCCACAGTCCTACTTGAGTTCTTGGTATGAGCGTGAGTTTTTATTGTGCAAAGGACGTAATTTCAAATTCTCAGGTTTACAAACAAACATGCTATCCATGTGCTATTTATGGTTGACTTGCCAAGGTGTCCCATGGTGAAACATAGTATTTATTTAATACTACCCATCAACATGTAACACGGTCAACATGCAACATGGCAATACTACACACATTTCAGGGCTGAAAGTGAAAAAGAATAGCTAACTGAAACTGCAGGGAAAATTGAGAGCCATCAAATAAGTCACCTGAATAAAATCAAGCATGTTTACTGGGTTTTGGGCCCAAGAGTGCTCTTTGGCTAGCATGTCTTACATTTTTCTTTTAAGTTGTTTTTCTGGTTAGAAATACCAGATTTTTCAAGTTCTGCCTATGTGGAATAGTTTTAAAAAAGGGATTGTATCTCAGGCAAAAATCCAATGTTAAAAATTTTCAGCAAATTGAAGTTAAAAAAAATCTTTTATACTAAATGAAATGTTTTATTTCGAAAGAAGTGAAGCAGTCCATTTCAATTGTTTGTGACCTAGTTACTTTTTGTTTTTTATTCGTGTTTAATGTTTTTCTTAATAAAATTAATGGCAATTTCAAATAAAATTGATTCCAACTGAAAAAGTACAATGTTGTGTCTGAAACATGTTGAAGCAAAATATTTTGATTTGTTTTGGTTGTTGTTATCATTATTATTATTTTAAAACTAATGGCTTACCAACTTCATTATTTACCTTCTGAACTAACTGGGAATTGAGAGGCTGAATTTGATGGTGTGTTTTGCAGGAAGTCAAATTAGGTGAGCACAGCTGGCTCTTTTTGCCTGATGATCCAAAAATCTATGAACAGTTCAGTGAAAATGAGGCAAATTCACAAAACAGTTCTCTTTGATCTGCATTTTTCTGTTTAAAAATGTACGCAAAAAAAAAATCACTTGGTTATCTTTGCCATCTCACTGGGCCTCCACATACAGTCCATCTTTTCCAAGGACTGCTTTGCTGCACCACACTCATCTGTTCACTTTTCCCACTCAGCTTCAGTCAGTGTTGCAGAGACTGATGCAGGATACCTTCCCATCTCTACATTTCCTGTATTCCCTAGCAACCCCCTCAGGGTTTAAGGAAATGCAGAAGAGGTTCCCTCTCATCACTGCAGTGGTCATCCAGGAAAATATCAACATGGCCCTAATCTCTGAGACAGCAGCTACTCTGGTTTTCTGTTACCACTGTACACCCTTCTATAGACCCTAGGGCAAAATGTACATGCGAGTCCCTACAGAACAGTGTATGTGGTGGGAAATGCAAATGGTCATCACCAACAGACAGATCCCACACCCAGCAAAGACATGGAAGTTTAAGTAAGAAAACTACCCCCGCCCCACTCCCAGCATGCCTTTAATCCTACTGTGTTCAACCTTGTGCTCTTTGTAGATCAGTGAGATCTCATCAGAAAAATATCTGACTTGGATAACTAATTTCTTCTGAAAGAAACAACCTGTAAGCCCTGAACAAAAGGGCCACACCAGCAGCTGGAGAGAAGAGCTCAGAACAGTCACCAAGACGACAGCAGGTGAAGGAAAAATAGCAACCATGAACCCTCAGCCTAGGTGCCAGTAGCTAGCTGTCACACCAGCACCCTCACTAACTGTCCCTCTGCCCCAGCACTCACCCAGTTACTGCCAGGATCACCCAGCTACCCCAGCTCTATAACAGGTATCCTCAATCCCTGACCCAGGCACTCCTTATGCACTTACTCTGCATAGGTACCTCAGTAGCCTCATTTCTGCCCACACCAGGCATCCTACATATCTAGTTGATTCAGGCAACCTCTCCCCCCACCCACAGGTCAGCTTTCTTAGATGCCCCCTCCAACTTCTCCCACTCCCCACAGAGAGAGCTCCTACCACCTTCTTCTCAGGCAGTGATTTTTTACAAACATGATTCACAAGAGAAACCCAGAGATTTCAAATAGAAATCCATAGTCATGGACTTTCAAAGTTATTTGCGAGAGAAAAACTGCTCTTTTTGTAGGCAAAAAAGAGTGAAAATTAAGAGCTGGCATTTTTTCAAGGGGTACTTTGAATCTATCCAGAGGTGCCTTGCACCTACCAAGGGTGTATCAAGCCTAGAAAGGTTGAAAAACACTATTCTAGGGGCAGGGTATGGGAAAAACTTCCATTTCCACTATTCGGGCATACAGTATTGGGGGACATTTATGCGTCTGTACCCCACTCCTACCACCACTCCTGAAGATAGGGGATCCAGCCATTCTGTCTTAAAGGCAAACATTGCTCCCAGCAGCTGTGCTTTATGGGTTACTTGTACTTAAAGCTGTTACAACATTTTCAGACAAAACATGATTTTTAAGTTGGCAGTGACCCTTGAATAATAACTTTACTTCATCCAACAAAGAAAGTTTAAAGGGATCAATTTCCTGAACCAGTTGGGGCTCTGCTTTGTAAACTCCTTGGGCCAGACACTGTGTGTGTTTCCTTACGTTATGTTGGCCACATACCAGTTGTACTCCATAAATAATTTAATTAACAACTGCAACCCCATGGAATCCCTTCTGCTTGGGAGAAGAGAGAAAAGCCCTCATTTATGTTAACTCTATCCATAGCCTCTCATAGAGCAAAACAGTTATCCAGATCCAATAATTCACACAATATTTGGTGTATATTTTTAAAGCTTCTCTTCTCTTCCCATGATCAGGTGACAACCTCTACTTTTGTTAAAAGCAAACACAAAAAAATCCTAACAGTTTCTTAGCTTTCGGTGTTGTGGAGGACAGCTTGAAAATATCTGAATATATTATAACATAGAGGAACAGACTCTATGACAGATGAAGCACTTAAAGGCTAGGGACAGAAATTACACGTAAACTGGTATAAATGATCAGAAACCAGTTCAAATCTGTAACACAACAGAACTTCAGTTCACATAAACTACTTTCAAATTGGCCAAAACTGGTTTAACAGAAACCTGGATGGATGTAGTATCAGGTTTAACAGATTTAGTTTAAGTAATTTATTGAACTTCTGTCCACGATCCCCTCCAGATTCAAGCTAAACTCCCAGCTTCCTGGGATGCTTAGCATGTCCCCTGCAAGCCCCCCTCACAGGGTGAGCGGTTTAGCTTTGGCCCAAGCTGTTTGCTTCAGCTGAGCAGGGAACCATGCTCTAGTGCCCCCCAGCTTCTGGCCTGGGCCACTGCAGGCATGTGGCTGCATTTCTGTAACTTAAATTGAATGTCTGTTCACTTACTTATCAGTTCAATTTACACAGTTTAGACTAACCTGCAAAGATTGAATTGATTTAGCCGTGGGATTTTTGACTGTCTGCACTTAGACATACTGATTTAAAGGGTGTGTGTGACAGGGACTTACTGCTGATAAATATGCATCAGCTGATCCACTGTAACCCTTTGATGTGTCACCTCTAATCCCACAACTAAATAGGCCATTTTACACCAGAATGAACCAAGTAAATTACCATAGTTTAGCTTCCACTTTTTGTGGATTAGAGCAGACATGCCGAATAGTTACAACAGATCAGTTTCAAGTGTATTGTTTTCCTCCCCCTCTTCTTTCAAGTGATAGGTTTCTTTTTCCTACCTGCGCTTTTAAAACTAAGCTTAACACACAGGGCGTGTCTACATGAGACGCATACTGTGCAGTAGCCAAATAACACTGCGCAGTAGCGTGCTGGACAAAAACTGTGTTAATACGCTACTGCACAGTGTTAGTAGACTACTGTGCAGTAAGCGTCACAAAAAAGTGTGCGCCAGTGCTACTGTGCAGTAGGCTACTGTGCATTTAGTACTTCATTAAGCAAGTACTTAACTAAATGCTCAGTAACTGTGCATTAATGAACGTGTAGATGCCTCACAGAGTCCAAAATATGACTGCTCTATCTTTGCCAAACATGATTGTGTGGCTTGAAAAAACTATGAGATTAAAAACAATCTCCTAATTTCTTGGGGCCCTTGGAGCTTCTGAGTAGAGCAAACAAGGCCCTCTTGCCAAGGAAATGCCAGCAGCTTCGGCTACCAAGCGGCTTTGGGAAGGGGCTTTCAAAACACTGGTAGTGCAAGAGCGATGTTGTAGTTGGGATGGTCCTGAAATCATGTGAGAGGCAAGGATTTCTGAGGATGACAATATCCTTTATTGCACCGAGTTAGACACGCTTTCAAATCCAAACCATTCTTCCTCAGGTCTGATCAGATGGAGCCAGGAGTCCCTGCCTCCCTCAAAGCAATGAAGACGGGCCTTTGAGCGGAAAGCTTGCAGAAAAGGATATTTTGTTGCGATTTCTCAGTTGGTTTAATACAAGGTATCATTTCAGACCCAGAGTTGTAGATTGGTGTATTCCTTCAGAGCAGCGTTTGACATCCAGCTGAAGAAACGCCCTGGAGTGGCCTTGCCACAGTCAGGATCAGCACCTCCGCCCCCCAGTCCCGCAGCACCGCATGGCAGGAGCGGCCCTTTTTTTCCCCATTCGATTTGCGAGAGGCTCTTGCACCTTTAAGGACCGGAGACTTGGGCTGGAGGCACAGCCTCCTCCCAGCCCACCTCTGGACGCGGTGATTGACGGGAAGCGGGCGGGGGTGCGTGTCTGTGTATGAGGAAGGGGTGGGAGGAGCTGGCCCCTTCCCAGGTGACCAATCCGGGCCGCGGGGCGGGGCGCCTGCCCCCCGACCCCCCCTTCCCTGGCTGTGGCTTTCTGTGTCAGTTTCAGGAGTCCTGAGCTAAACAAAAGCAGGAGGCAGAGGGGGCTGCTGGAGTTTGCAGAGGCAGAGGGAAGGGAGCTGCCTTGCCTGCTGCTGGCTTTGCTGCTTCTGCGGAGAGGAGAGATCTGGCTTTGGCAAGGGGGTGGGAGGGGGGGAGAAAAACCCCCCACCAAACCCCAACCCAATCAAACCCACCCCCTCCAACCCACCCCCTTTGCAACCACTCTGGCTCCAGGGGGGTGGGGGAAAGTTTGCTCTGAGACCCTTCTTCCTCCCTCTCTCCTTCAGATCCCTGCCTATTTGCAAAAGGATTAAGCTACAGATTTAAACGCTGATAGCCTGTTTCTGCAATCGCAGAAGGACCCCGGGACTGAAACAAAACAAAACAAAACAAAAAAGCTGCTAAAAATCCAGCTCTGATTTTTCAGCAAGTGGAAGAAGGTTGATTTTTTTTCTTGCTTTTGAAGTCACCACCTTCCCCCTCCCTCCCAAGAAGCAAAGGGATCTTTTTGTTTCCCCCCCCCCTCTCGTTTTTTCTTTTTTTCTTCTTCTTCTTCCTCCCGAGAAGGATTTGGAGCCGGCGTGAAGGATAAAAAAAAAAAAAGCCTTGGTTCTTCCTGGGAGCTGTGCCGAAGGAGCAAGAAGGGAGAAGGAAGGAACAAGGGACTGCTCCCAGCTTTGGAAATGGATGATCAGCCCAGGTTGATGCATTCCCATGCTGGGGTGGGAATGGCTGGACACCCTGGCCTGTCCCAACATATGCAGGATGGAGCAGGAGGGACAGAGGGGGAGGGGGGCAGAAAACAAGACATTGGAGACATTTTACAGCAAATCATGACCATCACAGACCAGAGTTTGGATGAGGCGCAGGCCAGGTGAGATGGGGGAATCTTCTCTTCCTTCTTGCAGGGTTTTGTTTTTCTTCTCTAACAGAAAGATAAACAATAAGATCCTGATCACCATTGTGTTTTCTCTGTTCTGAATAACAACTAGGTTGGTGAAGGGAAGGAGCCACATCTGCTGGAGAAAAGGTTTTCCCAAGTCTAATTTTGTGGGGACATAATATAGTTATATACACGCGTATAGACGTAAATATATATTTCTATAAATATTGAAACTGCCATCTGCTTTGGAGTCAGCCTCATCACTCCTATGGCTTACCAAGTCAGCCAGGACAGAATGGCTAAGTTTTGAGCATCTTCTTCCTCTGCGGTATCCCAAGAGAAGAAGGTTGCATACAACCCTTTATTGCTAAATTATTTGATTTCATTTGTCCTTGTGGTACCCTTTTTGCCTGTATCTCCTGTTGGTCAGGGTTATTTTATTTTTCCATTTGGTTCCTTGTGTTTGGGTGAAGAATGAGGCACTTTTCTTTGTCGTCAGTTATCAGGGATTTTAGGATTTTTTTTTTTTTGTTAAGTATGTAGGGTTTTAAAAAAATCAGACTAGGAAAAGGGAGTGGAGTGAATATTTGCTTTTATTCATTGAAAAGGTCTAGTTACATTTTTTTGTTTGTTTGTTTGGGATGATATTTTTTTTTAAACTTTAGGCCAGTTTCCTGTGGGTTTGCTGCTCAGTCCAACAATGTATACAATAAGTGGACTCTTTCTGTTCTGTTCCCCTCCACCCTTGCTTTAAGAACCTATGACACGATTGATTGTAATTGGAACCATGTGTGGAGTATGTACATTTTTGGAACAGGACTTGGAGATATCCATTGAGGAAACAGACTAGTAAAAACTGCAGCTTCCAAACTTAATCCAGCAGCAGGCAGTTGAGGCTTCTTCAGCATTTTCATTGTAGTATTTCATCTTAGAACAGTTTATTTTTAAAACACGCTAGCCTGTGAGGAACCTGACTTCAAATTCCACCGAAAATGCATCAAGTGTTTTACCATTGTTGGACACATTTTGTAATATTGGTGCCTTCTGTGAAGGCCACACTTTTATGTTTGGGGATGGCATGCACAGGATTTTAATGATTTTTTTTTTTTCTAAAAAGAATATAGGCTGCAAAATCTGGGAGCAGAAACACATTAGAATTCATTGCATACAAACTTAATATACATCTTCATAAGCGCTAGGAAGAAGTTTAAAAAAATCCAGTTGAAAAGCTGTGGTTTCAAAAAGGGGGGAAAAAAACCCCAAACGCAAAAAGCAAAGTTGCCAACAACTGCCTAGCGTACATTTAACTCTTATTATCTGACGAAAAGGTGCTAGGTGTTGGATAGTTTTTAGTGGCATTTATGTTCCAAACTGGAACAGATTGCTGGAGTACATTGTTCCTGGAAAAACGCACATCCCAATAAACTCTTTTAGTAACTACTTCCAAGGGGATCTAGGCATACCCCAAATCCCTGTTTATTTTGGGTTTGTCTATTTGCCCGGCCTGTTAAAAAAACAAAACAAAACTTTTGGAGAATATCAGGATTTTTTTTCTATGCAGGAGCAAATGAGAGTAGCTTTATAGGAAGAAGATGTTTCCTACTTCAAGCACAGACAGAGCTGGAGAAGGAAATCTTTATCCTGAAGTTACAGAAATCATGCAATGTGCTCCTGCATGTAGATGTAGAATCTAGTACAGCTAATCAAATTAATAAATCTAAACTGGTATAGAACAGACCTCCAAGAAGGATCTGTGCTTTCTTTGCCATGTTGGACTATCACGGCTACTTCCTCACAGTACTTTCTCTTCAGCAGCAGAACCCCAGTATTCATCAATAATGCAGTGCTTTCAATTTTACTTGTTTGTTCCATGTTAGTTTTTTTGGGTAAGGTGTTTTTGGTTAAGCAAAGTGCTAACACCATTTGGGAGGGTGTGTAAATACTGTATAAATGTTATTTGTTTATACGGAAATCCCTATGTCTGTTTGGGTGTCTTGATAAGGTTCTGTGCTGGGGCATACCTTTGAGAGACTTCATCAGATATATCTTTTAACAGAAGGAGGGATTTGTGAGTGGTGGGGAGAATAGTGTGACTGGGAAGAACAGTGTGAATGTTTGCCAGATGTTCACATCATCTTTTCATGTAATTTCAGTTGGTAAACAGAATTCCCATAACTGATTCCTGATAGGAACAGCCCTTTATACAACCAAACCTTTTGCAATGTGATTACATGGCTAACAAAAATTTATGTTTGTTTCTTTGCCTAAGTGGACGCCTGGCCAGTTTTTAAAACCAAGCAATTAAAAAAGCAACTCTTCTGTCTTCTCAAAAACACGAACAATGGGCAGCTCCTATCCCAGCCTTGAAATAAAACAAACAAAAAACCCCCCAAAACAAATAAAAAAATGTAAAAACCAGCCTATGCACCAAACATGCATTTGTTATTTTTAAATGCATGTAGTGGTCTGATTATAAACACTTGAATTTTAGCACCTGCAAATACACAGCATGCACGCAAGAAGCGTAAATGTGAACATAGAGAAATGAATCTCTTTCCCCATATGTGTGTGTTTGCCCATGGCAGTACATTTCCATACTCTTTATAATGGTGCTGGAATTCTATAAATTGAAAGCTTCTCTGACTAAAGCTATCAAACATTGAGAATGCAGGGGCTTTGGCAGAATAAATTGAAACACATGGATGAATTAAATGGGGAGGGGTGGGGAGCTCAGTGCTGTGTGTGTCCGTGTATTTGAATAAGGTAGGCTGGGATTAGATTCCACATGCTTTTGGCTTTGGCTCAGTTAATTGCCTGGCTAGAGTTGCTAGATTGTGAATGCCACTGGGTGGCAAATGCCATTTTCAAGCAATTCCTAAATGGGGATAATTTATAGTATCTGCATGAACTAGATAGTCCTCCCAAACTAACATCCTTTCCCTTAAGTCCTAAAAGCACTTGCAGATAGGCTTCGTAGCTGAGTTGCGGATGGGATTTTGGCTAAAATACATATTATGTCACATACTTATTTCCCTCCTCTTTCTCTTGCCCAAATGAGCCAATTTGAATATTGAAAGTTCTCCTAAACTGCCATGGCACCCTAACCTTGCCTTTTCCTTGCAGGAAACATGCTTTAAACTGCCACAGGATGAAGCCGGCCCTTTTTAACGTCTTGTGTGAAATCAAAGAAAAAACAGGTAGGACTGGAATTTGATATTTATGTTTCCCCCTCCCTGCCCCCCCCCCCCCCCCCCTTCACACTTTTTTTTTCTGTTTCTTCTTTTTTT